ATTTTATTTATTATTTTTATTTTATATATATGAGTGTTTTGCCTAGGTGTGTAAGTGCACCCACATCATGCATTACCCACGGAGGTCAGAAGAGGATATCAGATCCCTTGGAACTGGAGTTACAGATGGTTGTTAGCTGACGTGTGAGTGTTGGAAATTAATCCTGGGGCCTCTGCAAGAGCAGCCAGTGCTCTTAACTACGGAATCATCTCTTCAGCCCTGGAATTTTTGATTTTTTACTGAGACACACAAATACACAATGTTTCATTTCTTTAAGGAATAATGACATGTATCATTTATCCTGAAATAAAATAAGTAGCTTACAAAATAGTTCATTTGAAATTATTACGTTGAAAATGTATGTGTGGAGAAAGATAATATAATGGCAATGGTAACTGTAACATATAATTTCTTTTGCTGGATAACTTCAGTTGACAACTTGATACACCTGGGTAGAGGGAACCTCAGTTGAGGAACTGTCTTCATTGGATTGGCCTGTGGCCTTGCCTGTGGGGCATTTTCTGATTGTTGAGTGATGTGGGAGGGTCCAGCCCACTAGGCAAGTGGTCCTGTATTATATAACAAAGTAGGCAGAGCACAGGCCAGGGGAGCAAGCCAGTAAGCAGCTTTCCTCCATGGTCTGTGCTCCAGGTTCGTGCCCTAAGTTCCTGCTTTGGCTTCCCTTGATGATGGATTGTGCTTGTAAGCCAAATAAACCCTTTCCTCCCCAAGGTGTTTTTGATCGGTGTTTTTTATCACAGAAATAGGAAGTAACTGAGACAGAAATTGGTAACAGGATCATGGGGTATTGCTGCAACAGACCTGACCATGTATGTCTGGGAGGATTGTAGATGTTTTAGAAACTTTGGACTAGAAAATTACTTGGATCTCAGTGAGTTCTTCTGTAGGAACTTGGAAGATAATGCTGAAAGAGGTGTGGTCAATGGAGGCCTGGCTTGTGAAACCTCAAAGGGAAGCAAAGATTATCAGGACTGTTTGTATGATATTTTGAATTTGAATTGAGAATCTGTGGTTTCTGGTTGGTTGGGCTGAAGAATCAGCTGTGAGTAACAAGAGACCAGCATCACTGTGGTAAAATCTTCTGGGAAGTATTTTCTGAGGGTCAGCACACAGAAGCTGTGTTCCAGAGGGTGCCTGAGCCTCAAGCTCAAACTGGAAGGAGAACTTGATACTGTATAAGAGTCTCCTACATGATTCAGGTGTTGAAGCCATGAAAGGGTCACAGAGACAGTCTGAGACTTTGCACCCTGAGACGCCAGGAAAACCCATTGGTGAAGGTGCAGCTTCAGTTTCAGTAGAAACCCCAGCATACTGGAGACACTAGGACTGTGGAATGACCACCTAGGGCAGCAAAAGGTGTGGAGTGGAGCCAGCCTGAGCCCAAGAGATAAGTTGGGTGTGCTGTGAGTGGCAGAGTCAGAGAAGTGGGGCTGACCAAGTCTTTTGAAGCTCAGAAGACCATGAGTGAATCCCAAGTGTCCAGCCTTGAGCTACTCTGCTGGACTTTGGTTTTGCTTAAGTGTGCCTGATTCTGCACTTTTGAAATAAGACAGGAATTAGCTTGTTTTGGATTTCACAGGAGTCCACAGTTAAGAAACTTTTTAAAGAGACTGAACTTTTAAGTGCTTGAATTTTTTAAAGCCTGTCGAACTTTAAAGTTGTCCTGTTTTATGTTGTAATGTTAAGATGAGATCTTGGGGATAAGAAATGGAAAGGCTGTGGTTCAAAGTGATGTGTTTATGTGTCAAGTTGACAAGGGTTCAACAGGGCTAGACGGTTTCTGTTGTCAAGTTGATACACTTGGGTGGAGGGAACCTCAGCTGAGGAATTTTCTCCATTGACTTGGCCTGTAGCCTTGTCTTTGGGGCATTTTCTTGATTGTTCAGTGATGTGGCAGAGTCCAGCCCACTGGGATGGTGCTCCTGTATTGTATAAGAAAGCAGGCTGAGCACAGGCCAGGCACAAGCCAGTAAACAGCATTTCTCCATGGCCTGTGCATCAGTTCCTGCCTTCAGGTTCTAGCCCTGAGTTCCCACCTTGGCTTCCCTCACTGATGAACTGTGACCTGAGAGTTGTAAGATAAAATAAGACTTTTCCTCTCGAACTGGTTTTGGTCAGTGTTTTTATCCCAGCATAGAAACTAAGACACTTCTGTAATAAATTTAATAGATAATTGAAAATTGTTTAATGAAGACTATGAAAGTAATACATGCTAATTATAATATAATCAAAGTATATGCAAATGTATGCAATAAATCAGGAACTAACACAACAAATTCTAGTTCTTTCTCAAGAGAAAGAACAGTCACTATTAACAGTTTGGTGTGTATACTTCCAAATAAATCTATATAGCATTCCTGTTTTGTGTAGCATATGCACCAATTGAATGCCGTACAAATACATATAAATTATAATTCTGCATCAGGTTATCTTAATGTAAATATGACTAGGAGGTCAAATGAGCACAAGTTGTGTGGCCAGCTTTCCATTGGAATTTGTCTATGATTGGCCAGAAAAATAGAAAAGTGTTATGGTTTGGATATGAAATGCATCACTAAAAGGTTCATATATTGAAGACTTGTTGTGGCACTTTTGAGAGGTTATCAGATCAATGAGAGCTCTAACTTCATCAATACATTAATCTATTGATGAGTTCCTAGCTGAATGGGTCAGTGGAAAATGGTATCTAGTTGAAAGCTGTAGGTCACTGGTGGTGCTCCTTTAAAGTATATATTTTGTGTTGGAAATTTCCTCCTCCCCCTATCTGCCACAAAGTGAGCAGCTTTCTTCCATCATGCCTGTCCACAATGTTTCTACCTTGATATAGACCTAAAAGCATTGGATCCAATGGACCGCAGATTTAAAGCACTGAAATTATAAGTCAACCTTTCCTCTTTTAAGTCCCCGCCCCCAGTTTTGGTGGGGGGGAAGTTTGTCATAGCAACAAAAAGCTAACACAAATATTATTAGGAATAGGATGTGGGAGTCAAGAGGAAATTCAGTACTAGGATTGGTGATAACAAAACAGGTCTATCCATGGTGAAAAGGATCTGGCATTCAAGGTGGAACACATAGGTAAGAGGAGTTAAATAAAACATGGGATCCTAAAGAAGAGGGAAGAGGCTGTATTAGCTACTTTTCTGTTACTGTGATAGAAACACTGGCCAAAGCAACTTACAGAATGAAGAGTTTATTTGAGCTTATGGTTCCAGGGGAATTACAGTCCGTCATGGCAGGAAGGCATGGTGGCTGGAGGTGACTGGAGAAGGAGCGGAAGCTAAGCTATCACATCTTCAAGCAGGCACAGGACGCAAGAGAATGACTCAAGATCCGACAAGGCTTAAGAACTCTCTAAGCCTGGCCCCGGTGACGTGCTACCTCCAACATGGTCACACCTTCTAAGACTTCCACAAACAACACCACCAACTGGGGACAAAATGTCTAAATACTTGGGAGTCTATGGGAGGACATTCTCATTCAAACCATCACATAGGCTGAGATGGACTGACTTGGTGGGAGGAAGGAATAGTCCACCATTAGTAGAAGAGAGAAAAGCATGTCATTTTGATGGTGGGAAGATGATACAGTTTGCATCTAAAGATGTAGGCAGTGATAGTTAGCATTTAAAGAAAAGCAGTTTTGAGGAGAACCTTAACCATTGTGAGAACAAATATTATTCTAACTGAAGATACTTATTTTAATAAGGGGAGCTGCTGCCCTTCACATCACATTTCTAGGTATAGGCTTCCCTTTGTGGTAGAGGATCCATTTTTTCCTTTCTTGCTTTTCCTCTGGACAACAGATTGGTGATACAGAAAGGACCAGGCCAAGGCTTATGTAGGATCACCCCATCCCTAGTTGAACTGGTGTCCCTTCAGGAAAATAGTGCCTTCAAATGTCACTTACCAGGCTTGACATTGTTGTTAGCAGGAACTGCTGTTAGAGAATTTCCAGTCAGGACCCACACCATCTGTTGAGGATCATGAATGCTGTAGGATCTGGGAAATTCCTGAACTGTCAGATAACAGAAAAGCACAACATACAGGTGTGGATATAATTAACTTCAGTCCTCCATTACATTCTAATAACAACAAATTCTGAATTTGAGGGGTAGACTTAATGCTTTGCAAAGAGTTGGGTGTAAGGAGTGTTGATACAAAAGCACAACTTTCACCTCAAAGGGGACAAGAGATGGTTTATTCTGGAGCCAAACATGAGTGACCATAGCCCAGAAACACAAATCTAAGTCATCCCAAATTTTATGTTCTGATGTGGCAACAGTTTCATGAAGTTTTTATAGTAACAGAACAAAGAAAGCCATCAGTCAACACACTTTTCAAATACATTGGTCAATACATTTGGTTATAGCAAAGTTGGGAGAATTCTGCTCTAGGCCTCACGTGCTCTCTGATGACATTCTTAGCCTTTTGGCTGACAGAAACTAAGGTTTTAAGTTAATATGTTCCAAAAGGTTTTTATCACTTAGTTACAGGATATTAGATCAGATACACAGGTAGACAGGGAATGGCTATTTAGAGGGCTAAAGATGGCCTAAGACAAATTGAAAATAGACTCTGGACCTGCAACATTCCAAACTCTCCACAATCATTGACATTCTTAATCAGTTAATCAACTTTGTAGAAGGTTCAGGCTAAAGGTTCACCTTTTGTCTGGGAACTTTTGTTCATAGGTGAAAGAAAGAGGAAATAAGGCAAGGGCTAGTTGATGGATTAAGATATCATAAAGACCTAAATACATTCACTGTCTCAAGAGATGTTTGAGATTTGCTGTTTTATTTCTGGGGCGTTCTTTTCCTGATACAGTCTTTAGGTTGCAGCAACAACCAAAACTACTTAAATGGGTCATCGATATGTTGTTTTATTTTTTTCTTTAACATCTTAGTCAAATAAGCAAGCAATTCTGAATATAACTATTAAAAAATATCTAAATGCCCTGACATTTTTACCGGGCAGTGTGGCACCTACCTTTAATCCCAGCACTTGGGAGGCAGAAGCAGGTGGATCTCTGTGAGTCTGAGGCCAGCCTGGTCTACATAGTGAGTTCCAGAGAGACCCAAGCTGGTTTGTGACTCACACTTACTTTCTGTACATTTTCATATGTGGGTTTTTGAATATCTTAAAACAAATATATTTGTGGCTAAACAAATTATTGTGGGTCCCTTGCATCCTTAATCTTTGGTGAGACAGGATGGTCCCAAGTTGGTTTGTGACTCACACTTACTTTCTGGGGTGGTCATGTTGGTGTCAGAGTTTTCTTTGAGGTAGACAAAGTATACCAGATGGTGGAGAGGAAACTATCCTTAGCTGGCCTTGAGAAAGAAGGAGAGAAGGAAAACGTTTTACTCTCCCATGCCCTTAGGATTTTGTTGTAAACTTCTTTAGTAAGTCCATGCCCCAGGTTCATATTTTAAAGTGTATCTAGGAAGAGAGTATTTCAAGGCTAGCAAACCCTTAGTAGAATCTCCCATTCATGTGGTGGCTGGGGTAGTCTTGGGTCTCCAGGCTATAATGAGATGCCATCCACCATCACATCTGGATGAGGAGGAGGTCCTGAGCATCAACCCAAGTGCCTTCTGGTGTGATGAGCCACCAAGTTCAGAGCAAAGCAGGAAATATATATCTACCTCTGTTCTAGCTCTCTCTACAACTGGTGAATTACTGCTTTTTCTGCTTATAAGCTGAGTCTTCTTGAGCAACCAGCAGCAAGCTTATCTTTCTGATTCCTATATTCCTTCACTCTTCACCCAAAGAGGCATCTCCAAAGATTCTGCATGTGGTCACCCATTGCCACATCAGGAATTTGACTCTCTAAGAGACATTTGATTCTGTGATTCTGATTAACAATATCAGGTGTAAAAGTCCACAGACTTCACAATGAGAACTAATTGTTCACAGCCCTCCCTGTCCAGGGCCTTCAATTCTTGACTTGTTATCCTTCAACAGGGAATAAGCAACCTACCAAGCAGCACTCATAACAACTCTAGTCCTCTAATACTCTATACCTTAGATCAATTGTCCCCTACCCCAAGAGGCACTCAGAGCTAGAGAGAAAGCAGTGAAAGAAGGTTAACCACATATGGCTTGTGAACAGCAAAAATTACCTTTGTCCAAAGATGTTCTTGTCCCTGAGATTTAAGGCTCCAGCTGCACTTTCAGGATCCAAGAAGGTGGACTAGGACTCCAGGACTTTTAATGAGCAAGGAAGAAGCTCAGTCCACGAACCCTGAGTGTACCCACTTTGGTAAGAAACCTGGGTTGTCACAGAGGACCTGTGAGGCTTCAGAGGGGAGGCAGAGAAGCAATTCAGGTGTGACTGGTCTGGGCTCCTAGAGAAACCAAAGCAAAGCAAACAAACAATAGTGAGGAAGTGCAGAGGCTGGAAGTTGAATCAAGGTGGAGAAGGTCCTTTCTGAACTGGCTTGGAAGCTGTGAAGCTGTCTTAACTCACTGAGCAGCAGAATGCCAAAACCCTCTTCATATCCTCATCTTCCTCTCAGGAGTTTCACTACTTAGTATGCCACACTTACGAACAAACTGTGAGAGCTTACTCTGTTTCTGATAAAGTTATAAGAGCTTTCATTACCTGAGTAATCTTTAAATCCTCACAATAACCCTTCTCACATAAGAAAACAAGGTCTGACAAATGACAAAACTTATCCCAAGTCACACAGCTAGTTGCACTGCACAGTCATCAAGTTAGAAGGCAAGTTTCTCTATTCTTAGGTACTGTGTACTGTGTTTAATTTTGGTCCTGATCTAGATATCGCAATCTAGAAACACAAAGGTGGTCTTGGGTTTAGCTGTGGCTATTGAAAACTTCCTGTGTGTCCACTGGAAAAGACTAACATGATAGGAGAGACTTTCCAGTTTATGGCTTTCAAACTCTCAATCAGGTGCAGCCTGGATATTGGCAAAGAAAGGAAATCTTTACATCTGAAATAACATTATGGATCAGTGATAGGTATTTTTTTTTAAAGCCTACTCTTTCTATGCCAAAATCTGCTTTCAGGGTGCTCCCAAATATAGGTCATGGTTCTGTTCTGTGAAATTCGCCACTGTCTCCTCCTTGAAAACTTGCAATAGCTCCTAACTGCCCTCCCCCAGCTCTGCTCTTAGTTCCCTGGAGTTAGATGCAGCCCCCCCCATCCTCAGCCATGACCAGGATGAGACACAAATATGGTTGCATCACTTCCCTGTTACGAACATTCTCATGGTGTCACTTTATGGTGAGGCTGATACCCAGGCCTCTCACCCTTGTCATCCTGGGCAACATGATCGCTCCCTGCTTTCTTTTCATGTTGCTTCTACCCCTGTCATACAATTCCCTTTGTTTTAGCTGCACATTGGACTCTTGCTAATTCTCCTAAATTGTTCCAATTTGGGCCACTAGATGTTTTCAATTAGCTCCTGTGTTTCTTTGAAAACATACTTCATTATCAAAAGTTTCTTTTTTAAAAAAAAACAACAACAACAGAACATTAATTTCTGTCTAGAATGATAATGGCTACACTTGTATATTTCTTGACCAAGACTAAAATTAAACATTTTTTTCCCAATTTTTATTATTATGCTTATTCTTGAACTTTATTCTGGAGTATTATTAAGATACTTGTAAAGGTAAAGAATTTGATCCTTATGAGCTTGGTTTTAAGATTTGATAGGCAGAGCCGAGAAGCATGCAGTATAGCTCTAATTTTTTCCAATACGTATGCAAGGTCTTTCTGAGTAATGGACACAGTGCCTTCTGAATGGTGAGGTTTTCCTCACAGGTCTGCTGGGGAGAGCAGGTATCAGTCTAATCCTTTAGACTATTCATATTGTCCCCAACTTTAGGGACAATCACAATAGCATAAAGGGTAAGAAGAAGAAATTGGAAATAATTATAGAAAGTTCTTATAATACACTTAAGATAATGTAAAATAATATGGTGTTATTAATTAAGGATCTAGGGTAGCCACTAAAACCATTGAAAGATATAAATAACAAGTGAATTGACAAACTGGAGTCATAAAACAATATTAGGTCAAGAGACAGTAGACGATATGTAAAGAACAGATGTAACAAATAGAAAAAAATAGAAAAGATGCTAGATATTAATCCAGCCACATCAATATATAAATTAAATGTAGATGCTGCAAACACACCACTTCAAAGACTGAAATTTTCAGATGGTGTAAAGGGTAAGACCTAGCTAGGCATGGTGGCTCATGCCTATAACCACAGCATTAAGGTTGAAGCAGGGGACTACCATAATTTTGAGGCTAGCCTGGGCTAGATAATAAGTTCCAAGCCAGACGAAGCTAGAGTAAGACTTAGTCTAAAAAAAGAAAAATGAAAAAGAAGCAATACCTAATTATATAGTATCTGTAAGAAACCTAATTAAAATCTTAAGCTATAAAGGCATAGATAAAAGTGAAAGAATTGAGAAAGATACCATGTAAATGCTAAACAAAAAGTTGGATTAGCTAATCAATACCAGACAAAGCAGATTGAAAACAAAGAAGCTTATCATGAATGAAGAGGAACATTCCATAATGATAACAACACCAACTCTCCCAGACACATAACAGTCTTAAATATGTATGTGCCTAACAATACAGCTTCAAAATACATGGTGCAAAAAGTGATGGAGCCGAAAGGATAAAAGACGCATCTACAACTTTTTGTGAATGAATTAAACACTTCTTTCTCCATAATAATTGAACAAACAGACATGTAATCAGGAATACTGAATGAGATAAGAGATAGACCCCAAACCAGCTAGACCAAAGTGACATTTACATAACAGCCCACCTGATAACAGCAAGAAGTAGCCCAGCAAGAATTATCATAGGATCTGGCAACTCCATTTCTGGGTATATATTAGAAAAAAATCAAAAGCACAGACTTGAAAAGCTTTTTGAATATTCATGTTCATAGCAGCATTATTTATAATAGCTGCAAGACAGAACCAACTGAAGCATGTTCATTGATTGATGGAAAAACACAGTGTAAACAATGCATCGCAATATTATTCCAACTTTAAAAGGAATGGCGTTGTGATACTTGTTGCAACATGGAAGAACCTGGAGAACATGATAGTGAGGAAACAAGCCAACCACAAAAAGACAAACTGTCAGACTCCACTGGTTTCAGGTACCCAGGTAGCTAGAGTCATAGAAAAAGTAGAATGGCGATTGTCAGGAACTAAGTGTGGGAAGGAGGAGGGGAAGCTTTGTAAGATGAAAACTCTGGAGATGGAAGATGGTGATGTTGCAGAACAGCATGAATGATCTTAATGCACTTAAGATAGATAAAACAGCGACTTTGATGTTTGTTAAGTATATATTATTATACTTTAAAATAACTGGTGAGTTATATGTTTGGCAATACTGCGTATGTTTCTGACAATGGATCTGGAATATATGCTGTGTTATGTATTCTAGTTCTTCAGAGGAGCAGAATAAATATAATGTGTACAATGATAAAATTGTAAGAATTTTGAAATATATAAAGAAGTCAAATGTTTAGACACATAAATTAACAAAAGCAGAGGCATAGAGAAAAAGAGAGAATTAATAAAAAAATAGTCTTAGCAGACTAGATGTGACCATCAACAGATGAATGGGTAATGAAAATGTGGCACTTACACAAGTAGAATTTTACTCAGCTATAAAGAAAAATGAAATTATGACATTTGTAGGAAAATGGATGGATTTGGAAAGCATAATATTAAATGAAGTGATTCAAATTCAGAAAGACAAAACTTCATATTCTCTCTCATATGTGGATTCTAGCCTGTCTACACTCATGTATACACACATACATATATGTAAATGTGGTTACATGAGGTGGAGGAAATCTACTAAGAACATATACATACATGTAACACACTTTGTTCAAAAATGCCATAATGATATCTGTTATCCTGTGTGCTACTTTTAATTTTTTAGTTAAGAAGATAGTGTGTTTTTGAGGAGCTCATGAAATACCCTTAGTACCCAGCCTTACTGACAAAGTCAAGGGAACCTGGAGCCCCTATGTGGCTATGAGGGCTCACAGCCTGGGTGTGGGCTATTCCAGATCTTTTGTGGAACTGGAAAATGAAGAGGAAATACTGTACATGAGCAGATCCTCTGGAAGTTTGGAAGTGGTCTATCTGAGTGCAGCCTGCCCAGTCTGTCCTGAATGACTGTGCCCTTTTCTGTGGGGGTCAGAGACTGGTAGTTCAACCTGCCTTGTGGCCCAGCAGGTGGAG